CTGTCAGGTGATGTCACTGTCAGGTGATGTCACTGTCAGGTGATGTCACTGTCAGATGCTGTCCCACCCCATCAGGTGATGTCCCCCCATCAGGGGATGTCCCCCCAGGCCCTGGGTGGCTCTCAGGGATGGTTGGATCTCCGGGTGCTCGACCCCCCTTGGAGCTGCAGCTCCGTGTGTAACCACGGCCCCGGGGGTTCCCTTCCCTCCCCAGATCCTCACCCTGCTGCTGGGAATCTCCATCCTGGTCCTGTCCCTGCTCACCACCTACTTCATCAACGCCAAGGCCGACGTGCTCTTCAGCCTCCCGCGGGATCCCGGGGCCGTGGCCTACTGAGCCTGCTCTGGGGCTGGAAAACTCCTGGATTGCAGCTGCCAGGGCTGAGCCAGCGCTGGGATGGCCCTCCCTCTGCAGAAGGTTCCCTCCAGAACCTTCCACGTGTTCCAAGGGCTGAGCCCTGAGAGACTTTCCCCAGGAAAAGGCACCGACCGAGCCCCGAAGGAACTTCGGGACAGATTCCCAGAGTTTGTTTGATTTGTCCTCGGAGCAGCCTGAGGATGGTCCTGGATGCTGCTGGGAGCACCCTGGGATGGATTTCTTCCCTGAATCGAGCCAAGGGTGGGAAGGATGAAGGTGTTTCCTCCTGGAGCAGTGGAATTCCGAGGTGTCCAGCAGCCCCAGGGTGTCCCCCGGGAGCTGTGGAAGGTCCATCCCAAGGTGTCCTCAGCAGGTGATCAGATGTAAAACAACCCTTTTTTTTCTTAATGGTGCAATATTTTCTGGGCTTTGTACATATATAAATAGTTCCCTTTAATTAAAAAACGGCCACTTCCAAATGAACCCACCCTTGGCCTGCTTTGTCTTTCAGTCCCTTCCCAAAGTCATCCCAGTGGGCAGTTTGTGGGTGTGGAAGCGTCTGGGGGAGGCAGAGGGTTCTCTGGGATGTGCTTTTCCTTCCCTAGGGCGAGTTTTTTGTGGTGTTTTCTTACATATCTAAATTTCTTACACACCTAAATGAAAATGCTTCGTCCAGGACGGAGCAGCTTTGAGGAGAGACCTTGGGATTGGGGAGGGCTTGGACTTCCATGGTCCCTGTGGGATCCAGCTCAGGATATCCCATAACCCAGCGCTAATCAGCAAGTTGGGTCAATTAAAGGGTTCCTGATCATTCAAAGCATCTCCTTCCCGCTCTGCTCCGTCCTGCCTTTCACTTCTGGACCCCCTGGAATTACAGGAATTATTTTTCCTCCTTTTTTCCCCCCTCCTTACGAACAGAAAGGAAACCCTTTTCCCCCTGGCAGCCCCTGCTCTGTCCCTCTGGAGCAGCTCCAGCAGCTCCGTGCCCTCCCTGGGCTGGGCCTCCTCCAGCTGCTCCTCCTGGATTGATCCCGGGGGTTTTCCCGATCCAGGGGCAGCACCAGCTCATGCACTCAGAGCCTGAAGGTGCCAGAGCTGCCAAAGAGCCCCTGGACAGAGCTCAAAGCTGTCCAGCACCTCCCAAGTGTCAGGAAGAACCGGTTGGACCGGGAACGATGTGGAGCCACCTCCAAACAGAGCAGCCCTGGAAGGAATTCAAGCTCCGGGGCTTTGGAGGGACGTGCCAGCGTCTGAAAGAGGCAGGAGAGAGCGTTTTCCCAGCACCTGGACCCGGCTGGGAGCCTGTTCTGGAGGAGGTTTTGCATAATTTCCCTTGCAAAGTTCCCTAATTCCTGGAGCAAACGGGCTCTGGGTGAGGGGAGGGTGGGGAGCAGCTCTGGGGGACAAGGAGTGTCCGTGGGCAGTAGTGGGATCCAGGGGGATCCCGGGGGGAATTAGGAAGGGCAATGCCAGAGGCACATCTGGGATGTGGTGTCCAGCTCTGGGGGACAAGGAGTGTCCGTGGGCAGCAGTGGGATCCAGGGGGATCCCGGGGGGAATTAGGAAGGGCACTGCCAGAGGCACATCTGGGATGTGGTGCCCAGCCCTGGGAGGTTTGGAGTGCCCAGCTCTGGAGGTTTGGAGTGCCCAGCCCTGGAGGTGTCCGAGGAAGGACTGGCCGTGGCCCTGGGTGCTCTGGGCTGGGTCAGGAGTTGGATTCCCTGATCCTGGAGGTCTTTTCCAACCTGGAGGATTCTGGGACTCAGCTGCTCCTCAGGGCTCTGTTTGCCCTGTGAAGATAAAAATAAACCCGGGTATTTAACGACACCCAAACGAGCTCCCCCATTAACGCGCTCGTTCCCCAGAGCTCATTAGCATTAGGGACGCTCTAATTAATGCCCATCATCTCGGGGGTGAGGACGGGAGGGTATCAGGGGACTTGTAACAGTGGGGTCGGTGCAGCTGCTGGGCTGGGCTGGGCAGGACGGGGACACAGAGAGGGTGGGGAGGCCCTGGCACAGGTTTTCCAGGGAATTCGTGGCTGCCCCATCCCTGGAAGTGTCCAAGGGCAGGTTGGACGGGGCTTGGAGCAACCTGGGCTAGAGGAAGGTGTCCCTGCCCGTGGCAGGGGTGGAATGAGATGATCTTCAGGGTCCTTCCAACCCAACCCATCCCCTGGTTCTGCTGCTCTGGGAGCACGGGGGGTCCCCCACGTTCCCTCCCCTGCTCCAGACTGGCCTGAAAAATCAGGGAAGAAAGGAAGGAGTCGCTGAGCAGCCAAAGGCAGATTCCCCCCGAGGAGATGGAGCCCGGGAGAGGCCAAAAACCAAGTGATGCAACTCGTGGCAGGTCTCGCCGGGCTGCTCCTCCCGACGCCCCGCAGAGGGCCGGGAGCTCTCCTGGGAGCTCTCTGGGAGCTCTCCCGCCGCTCCTCGGGCTGGGATTCGCTCCCGAGGGGAAAGGCTGCCTGTCCCTGCCTCCTCCTGGCAGGACATGAACCCCCCCGGGGTTTTGTTGCGGCCTTGGGTTCCCCCGGGGCCCCTCCAGCTCCAGCCCAGCCCGGCTGTGGTTTTTGGGCAGCTGGCAGGGGCTGTCCCCGCCCCGGAGCCCTCGGGCATCTTGCTGAGACATCCCCCCCTTCCTCCTCCTCCTCCTCCTCCTCCTCCTGGTGCACATCATTTGCAAGCATCGCTTTCCTCCCCTCCCTCTTCCCGGGATTTCTGCACAAAAAGAAGATGCCACCGACCCTCCTGACCCCCTGAACTCCCGGGGGGGGCCGAGGGCTGGGGCTGCAGCTGCCCCCCGTGCCCCGAGGGGGGGACATATGGGGGTGACAGTCACCCAGACGGGGAGGAAGGAGAGGAAATGTGTGTTCTCTTAGTGCCCGGCCTTCCCCGCTCCTGGGAACTTGGTGGCTCCGGAATATTAAGAGGCAGGAAAGTTAATTAATACCCAGAACAAAGCCAGGGCTGTTTTGGCTTCTGGGAGAAGGAAACGGTGGAGACAGGAAGGGGAGAACTGGTGTCTTCTTCAGTGGTGTCTTATCAGCAGCTAAAATCGAGGTGAAGCCCGGGGTGGGGGGTGAGGGAGTCGTTTTTTGGAGGGTTTGTGGCAAAGGGCAGGAGGGTGCTGGGAGAGCCATGGGAACAGCTCCCCTGTGCTGAGGGGCTGGGGGGGCTGTCTGGGGCTGTCTGGGAGCAGCACAAGGTCCAGCTGAAGGAACAAAGGCAGCTCAGGAGCAGGAGTGGAGCGAGCCAGGGCCTTGGCTGGCACCCAGCAGGAATCTGAGTCCAACATGTGTTTGAAATCAGGGGCTGAACTGCTACAAATGGGAGCAGAGGAATTGCCAGCTTGGAGCGTGCCCAGGGTCCATCCTTTCCACTGCCCTTGGCACCACCAGGGATGAGCACCCGGCTCTGGGAGAGGCACCAAAGCCCCCGGAGCGACCCCGTGTCCCAAATCCACCCCACGGGGGGATCCCTGGGCTCCTCATTCCCGCTGCAAAGTCCACAGGAACATCCAGAGGGATCTCACCGTCCCAAATCCACCCCATGGAGCCACCATGGGGATCCCTGGGCTCCTCATTCCCGCTGCAAAGTCCACAGGAACATCCAGAGGGATCTCACCGTCCCAAACCCACCCCACGGGGCCACCACGGGGATCCCTGAGCTCATTCCCGCTGCAAATCCGCTCTCCCTCATCCACAGGAACATCCAGAGGGATCTCACCGTCCCAAATCCACCCCACGGGGCCACCATGGGGATCCCTGAGCTCCTCATTCCCGCTGCAAAGTCCACAGGAACATCCAGAGGGATCTCACCGTCCCCCCCCGTCTGCCTGTCCATCCAGCCGCGGGAATTCCTGGGGGAAAACAGCCCAGCCGGGGAAAGAGGGAGGTGATTTGGGGACAAACCGAGCTCGTCCTTCCCCCCTTTGCCCCGTGCAGCTCCCGGGGCCTCCCCCTGTGCCCTCCAGCGGAGGAAGAGGAGGGTGAGGAGGAGGAAGGGGCGGAGGACGGGGCTCGGGCTCTCTCTGCCGCCCAGGTGATGCTTCCCCGGCGCCAGCAGAGGTGCCGGGGGCTAATCAAGATCGACGTCGGAACAAAACAGCGGCTCGGCAGCTCGGAGCCAGCGGGAAGGGGGAAGCAGATGGGCTGGAGGAGGCAGGAGCTGCTCTAAATGGATTGATGGAGAGGCCTTTGAGGGAGATGGATTGGAGACGGAGCCGCTGGAGGAAAGGGCCGGGGTGGCCACGCTGTGAATGGGGCAGGGGCCCAGGGACGGGCTGGGAAGGGAGAAAGGCCCGCAGATAACAGATGGATGGACACAAAGACTGGAAGGGAAGAGGGGGACAGATGGACAAGCAATAGAGAGAGTCGGGAGGAGAGAGGGATCTGGACATAATTAGATTGGATCTGATTATGACAGACTCGATTAGAGCAATATTATGATCAGGAGCTTCTGTCGCTATTTGGCTTTTAGGGGGGAACAAAAGCCAGGGGAGGGGGGACGAGCAGAGGCACAGGGAACGGGGCAGGATGAAAGGGAAAAAAGGGAAGGGGCTCCTTGTGAAAGCTGTCAGGGGTGGTGGTGACAGATTGTGTGGTTATGGAGCACCGGGGCCGTCTGTCACCCACAGAAACCTGCCCGGAAAACAGACAAAAGGGGCTCCCAGAGCCCGGGGCTCCGGCCCTGCCCGGGGCTGAGCACTCCAGGAGCTCCCTGGGAGGAGTAACCACGGCTGGGTGTGCACACACACCTTCCTCAGACACCCCCAGCCCGCCTGAGGGTGTGAGCACACGTGGGAACACGCGTGGGAACACACGGAGGGCACGGCCTGGCCCTGCACATGCGGGTGCCAGCCCTCAATTCCTGCCCCCAAAAGCCTCCAGTCCCGGCTCTCACACTCTGGGGGGGGCCCAATTGGGGGTTTCAGGACCTGAAGGGGCTACAAGAGACGTGGGAGAGACTTTGGAGAAGGAGTCCAGGACAAGGGGGCGGGTTCAGAGGTTTGGGTGGACATTGGGAAGGAATCCTGGCTGGGAGGGTGGGCAGGCCCTGGCACAGGTTATTATTCCATGGCTGCCCCATCCCTGGGAGTGTCCAAGGCCAGGTTGGAGCAACCTGGGCTGGTGGGAAGTGTCCCTGCCCATGGCAGGGGGTGGAACGAGGGGAGATTTAAGGTCCCCTCCCACCCAAACCGTTCTGACACTGACTGACAGAGGATCATCCCCCCAAGTGAAGGTCCACAGGCTGCCCCGGTGCTTCTCCACAGAATCCCAGAATCCCTGAGGCTGGAAAAGCCCTCCCAGCCCCTGGATCCCCCCTGTGCCCCATCCCCACCTCGTCACTCAGGGGTGGGGGCACAGCCCCCGGTGTGGGACGGCCCCAGGGGAGGGGCAGGAGCTGCAGAGCCCCCAGGGATTGATCTTTCCGGGGTCTCTGGGCTGTGCCCGGGATCTCCATCCAGGTCTCCCCCCGTGG